AAATCTATAAAAGCTTTGTGAAGAGTTACTGGTCACTGCGCTATCAAACGCTGTAAAGTATGCCAGCACTTGCCACAGCCATCTTCTCGGTGAGTGAAAGCTCATGAATTTAATCATTATTATTACCGGTGAATATAGTAATAAATGCTTCAGACTCTTATTATTACATCTGGATGGGCATGTGAGTGTAAATCGCATACTCCTCCATGTGTTTAAAATTTTAGAAAAAACAGCGATTTCAGCAATGTGCCCAGATGCTGAAGGAATGACGGATGAAATAAGAGAAGAATTCCTTAAGACCCACAATATGTATCGGTGAGCTATTCACGTGAGCAGTTAATATGAAATGATGATAAGTGCTTGTCTAGCTCGCAGATTGCCAAAGGAGAAGCTAGAAATGCACAGGGCGGTCACGCTCCAAAAGCGGCTAGGATGCTGAAGATGGTATGACTGCACACTCCTCTGACATGAGAGACTTCGTATACTAGCCATACCCCCTATGAATTACGTTTTCTGGAGAAAGTTAGAGCTACAGGTTTCTCGGAAGTGACTATTTGTAGACTTATGATTGCGACATCGAAGCAAACACGATGCAGTTTCTCAAAAAATGCGTGTACACGCAAAGCTCTCCTGAGGAAAGGAACAATTGGGGGCAGAACATCTGGATGACACCGACGCAGAACTTTAGCAAGATCTCATCCGCATACAGTGTGAGAATATAAAAATAGTCAGAATCAATCCACCAAGAGTGATACCGGCTCCATTTCAGGCCGTCTCGTCTTTCTTTGGCGAATTAGGGATGTTTGGTGTACCCAACAACTTGAAATATTCTACGTCATTTTCATATATGCTGTCTCGGCGTTTCACGCAGGTGGAGTTCTAGCCGACAACGCATAGCAACCAGTAGCCAAGAATCGAAATTCATTTAGTTGGCCTGGCAAAATAGCGACAAGATTGGATGCGGAGTGTATTGGTGCAATACCATGACATTCGCTGCATGCGAGTATAGTCCCGCGTAAGTGTATTTCTGTGATACAGATATAGTGTAGTGCCTCATTTTCTATAGTAACTGTCCTTCAGAGGAAACCAGGTTGGCTCTACAGTTTACGAAATAGGAGATCCCTGCGCAGAGGACTCGGACTGCCACTGCGATAATTGCGTGTGCATCAAGGACGAAGCGCTTTGCCTGAAGAAGTAATCAGTGCAAAGCTGACCTGCCAATAAATTTTTACTAAATAGAAAACTGTGGTGTAAAATGCTACTAGATATGTGTGATATACAACAGTGAAACTACTCATTTCTGAATGGAACTCTATTTTAGAATCAGGAAATATTTAAGAATTCCTTTAGGTTGCGGGGTTCCTCCGTTGCAGCAATCATTTTATCGAAGTTGATCAGGTTGATTATCTTGCAACAAGGCCCAGTTCCTAACTTCTTGGCTTTTCGACTGGCGCGCTGAGCTTACAGCAGACTGATCCCCATGTAAGCCATGCTGCACGAACTCAGTCGCGCCTTCTTTTTCGGAGCACATGACGAAAGAAAAGAGGGATGCTAATTTTATTCGCAACGACGTGACACCCAAAATCAGATTCAAGGACATTGTCATTACTAGCTTCATTTATAATCGGTCACAAAAAACTCAAATCAACTTCTACTGAAGCGTTGATTTACGGCAGTGTGGTAAGAGAAGAAGAATTGGTCACAAGACTTGTTACATGGATGAGAAAGGAGGCAGACCACATTCGAAAGAGAGAAATTAGAACTTGGTGAAGAGCAGTGGCGCTGCAGTCGGCGTGGAGCAGAGGTGGAGGGAAAACTGATTCCTCGAAGGCTTGCCTCAGAATTCAGATTATGTGGTTCCTGTACACGAGGGCCCTCAGTTTCGAAAACCAGAAGTGCGTCGAGTGCAGACCACACACCACAAGTGACGACGGCCTCCACAAAATGTAAATGTTTTCTGCCAATGAAATGATTAGCCTGTTGCAGTTGTATTCTATCAGTTGTCACTAATTACAACTATCATTTACCAACTAATCAGCTATCACTATGAATACTAGTTACCAGATTCCTAGTTCTCTGAAACGAAGTTGTGCGTGTTGGTGCGAAATGGGCCGGAACTTAAAAAAGGCAAGGAACCTGTCGAGAACGTTGAGGACAACGGCTCGCTTACCTTCGTAGTGTGGGTGTGCTAAGGAAATAATCGGTCGAGCACGGAGTCTTCAGTAGTGGCGAGGAAGCACAGCAGAAGAGAGGGGACCAGACAATAGCCTGCTGCGGATGAGAAACATGCAGCTGTTGCAGCTGCACTTTGCAATGCTTAGCGCCCTTGTCGGGTGATTCGCATGCGAGAGTACTTCAACACTTGCCCCTGAGGATTCGTGCAGACCGGAGGGTCGTTCACGCTACTTCCGGTGGTTGTGGCTTTGAGGATTTCAAGTGGGGTTTTCAGTTTCTCCATTTGTGACTGATAACATGAAGGGTGAAAGTTGGATATGAAGGACCACTGTTAGTCTAATCTGCCCAACCACAGCTCATTGCTTTGTTTGTGAAGAGTCAACAGCAAGTAGATTGTCGTAAGGCTCCCATCATTGCTCAACTGCGGCATCTTTGATGAATTCCCCTCCGAATTGTGAGTTCAAAAGGGTTTCATAAGTACGGTCCGTTAGTATTCTCGTCATGACATCGAAAATGCTGGAAACGCCTGGGTAGTTAGCACCTCAAAGTGCTTTCAGTCGTCCTCAAGTCGCTTGAGATTGGTAATTGGTTGGGTGAATGGCGTGGCGATTTAGGTTGGTTTAGATTGATTGTTTGAGGGATTTGGTGGGTGTAATTTGTGCGCGTAGATAGGTGGAGGAGAGAAAATTTGCCATTTCATTGCACTTATACCCCAGTCCAGGCCTTTTTGGAGGAGGAGTGGGCGGACTGGTCTCAGAATCAAATAGAAGGTGGTGGTCGGGTAGGGAGAAGGGTGGTCGTATTGGGGAGCCTCCTGAGTCTCATGGTGGTGGTGGGGTCGCATCGAGACCCCCTAAAGAGGGGGTCGCAAAATTTCTGAAAAAGTGCGAACGTCACGGTTGATCCTGGTTCTCGCCTCTAAGCTTGTTTTTGAGCATGAACACGCTGAATTGCGAACAGCTTACGTCTACCAATCCTGACCTTTGTAACCATACCGTGTTATTTTAAGTTGTTAAAGGCAAGATTCGGGATAAAATAGGTGTGGAAAAGCGTTCAGTTATGAAGCTAAGGAGGTGGTCTGTAAAAGAGAAGGAAAGCAAACGAAACCACCGATTACGCCCCGTACAGAGACCTCCCCTATTTCAGCCACATTCCACCTTGGGATAGAGAAGAGGCGAATTGGACGAGTTTCACGAACCTAACTCTACTTGCTCCAGTGCCAATGACATTGGATCGCGATGGGACCGCTGCCTCAAATGCGCCCGCGCTTTTCAAGCAGCGCCACGTGGCAACCGACAGGGTGGGGCTTGCGGACGAAGGTGTGAGTTGCGGGTCGGACGAGCTCCTTGCGCCTTTGTCGCGCACTTTCAAGCGGCAAAAGGGGCGCGACATCAACACTTGTCCGCCTGCCTACTACCCCCGGGATGGAACAGGCGAGCGCGCCTAATCGTGGAGCGTGCCTTTAACTTATTACTATCACTATGATCCCGGATCTAACTATGAAAATTGCGCATCGGAAAAAAGGCTTAGGCACCGGACCTTTTTGTGTGAAGCTATGATGGCGTGCGCAACCTTTCATGGTAAGTTGTCCTGCTGCAGGAGAGATTTCTGAAATACGGGAGAAAAAGTAAGCATGAAGTGCTCAAAATCGTAGGATTCGCCACCGCTTCGTTGGACAAATTCATGACCCCACCATCTACCTCCACTGCCCTCGACAGCCGTTTTGAGTGGAGTGGATAATGGGTGGAGTTGAAGCGTGTCTCACATTCTAAAACTACATACATATTTAAACAGCCGTGGGGATAAGGGTGGGGTGAGGGCGTAAGGGGTCATGTGAAGATCCGTAGTGGTCGGGTCGGAAAGGAGTGGGACCATCAAAGCCGATAGTGGTGGTGGAGGGTCGTATGGAAATCTCCTTGAAAGGCAGTGGGGTGTGAACTCGAAAAATTACCAACGCCAGAGTTGGCTTTGCTCAGAACTCCAACAATTTAAATCTGCGCGTGTGTGTCAAAGCGCAAACGTTCTAAAAACACATTTTCGATCGGTGTGTTTCTGCACGATTGTCGAGGAAGCCCACCGTTTTACGTTTAGCGGTTTTCGTTTACGAAAGGAGAATGAGTAAGTGGTCACACATCCATGCAGTGCGCTCGATTTTGGGTGTCCCCCAAGAGGCCCGTCGCGCGGCGAAGGAAGAGACGCAGACGCGGCAAAGGACGAGTCGCAGCGCATACTGTAGCGGTTAGGCGTCAGGTTAAATAGAGTGTACCATACTACGTCTCATATCGCACAGCACGCGCTGCGACTCGTCCTTTGCCGCATCTGCGTCTCTTCCTTCGCCGCGCGACGGGCCTCTTGGGGGACACCCCTCGATTTATCCAGGAGCACGTTAGCAATAGTTTTTTTACGTCGAGCTTTCAATTTTTCAAACAAGAACTGCTCATTTGTTCATGCCTTTGGGGAGGGGGTAGGGACATTTCCAGGCATATAAAGGCACGCCACGGGATCAGATGAGCTCGCCTGTTCCATGTCTAATATACAAGACAGTAGGCAGCGGTAGACAAGCGGTGCTTGATGTCGTGTCCCCTTTGCAGCTTGAAAGTGCGCGATAAACGCGCTGGAAGCATCGCCGGTTGCATATCCTTCGATGCGAATTGCGTGTTGGTCCGCACCCTTAGGGGGTCCGCCTGTCTCTCCACTAGGTAAGTTTCCCTTCTTCGACCTTCGTTCTTATCGTGGAATCCTCCTTTACAGTTTAGATATACACAAGTATTAGAATCTACGCCGTTTTTCTAAAATTAGTGGAGGAATGTTTATTAGCGATTTAGTCAACTGACAATATAATCTCTTCCTTCATCCTGAAAATGTAGTTCCAAATTGATTGCACCGATATCCATTGTGGTCTTTGGTTGTTTTGCATAGGTAATGTACTTTCCTGGGAGACGGAACGTTACCTTACGGCTTCCTGGCTGAAAACGATTCTGACTTTATTGAGAGTCGTGCTATTACAAGGTTTACTTCCTTTAGGCCGATGTCAGACTTTGCGAATCGCGCGATTCGCTAGCGTCTGCGGTCGCGTCGCGGCCAGTGAATCACTCAATTGGCTGGTACCGCAACGCGACCGCCGCGGAAGAAATCGGCGATTCGCAAAGTCTGACAATCCGTAGTAGCTCCGATTCGTGCGATTCAATGAGGAATTGTTCGTGCGCTTACCTTGGGTACATTCGCTATACCGGTGACATCGTTGCAATCGTGGTAGATTCTGAGGATAGGGTCGATATCGGTAGTTTCATGTCCAGTGCCACCGGAAGGGCGAGAAAGGGGGCGTGGGTCGTCGTCGGTATATCCTTTGCGGCAAGCATGATCAGCGTAGGCCTTAAAGGGCATATCATGATCATATAATGGAGCTGTTTCGCGCAATGAGAAAAAGTTGAGTCAGATGTTTGCAAGCAAGGGAGAGAAAGAAAATCGCCGTGGGGAAAAAAACCAATTGACAATATTCTTTTCCTTTCAAATAACAAACACGGAAGCTCAAATAAGAAGACCTCCTGCCATAGTTGCATAAGTTCGGTTATCTGGTAAAGACAGACAACTCTCCTCCCGAGCAGGGTCAACCACGTTGCTACAAGTAACAACGGGGGGTCATAGTTTTTAAGCTTGTGGTGGGGGGTCGTACTTGTTTCGGCAGCGCGAAATTACTGTGATGAGGTGAGAGCGCGCGGCAGAAAATTTGCCGTTTCAGCGTGCTTATATACTCCAAAGCAGAAACAGGCGAATATTGGATTTTCTGTGGATAGCTCTATTCTTGTCTAGGCTGGCTACTTCACCTGTGCCCACGGATTTTCCGAACATGCCAGACGAGCAGACTGCCGCGCCGCCGCGTGACCCCCCATATATTGTCTACACAAAGGGATTGTCCACTTGGATCCATCGTGAGGTCCTCAAAGAACGATGAAAGGTAATGGAAACAGTGCATGGCCTTGGCATCAGTCAGTCAGATTTAAGATATGCCATGTATTTTGGGTCATCCATAATCGTGGGGATAAATAACCCCTCCTTTTCAAAAAAAAAACGAATGAGCGTCGGGTGCAGACCATACACCACAAGTGACGACGCCTCCAAGTAAATTTGGTTGGTGGTGGTTCATAGTGATAGCTGATTTTTGGTGCTTTCCGACTATGAACTATCACTAGAAACTGTTGGTTATCAGATTTACTCGAAGGTCGCCGTCACTTGCGTTGCGGAGTGCACTCTTCCCTGGTCGCAGAATACGCCACTTGAGACAAATTTTCCCGTTCATTTTTGAGTGGAAACTGACCGGTGTCTGTGTCGATGAGCTTCACGCGGACGTTTTTAGCTGGTCCAGTTCCACAGAGCAGTCGTCCTTTGACGGCGATCGACTGGTCACGCACAGCTTCACACACCGCCAACACAACAATAGCGAATACCACACGATACATCCTGAAAAACTCTTCAAGAGTTGCTTCACCAGAAGAAATCTTTTGTGACAACCACACCGGCCATACCAATCACACCAAGAAGCCACCATGGTGGCATGGCAAAGACACAGGCGAGGGGTGTCGCTGAGGGTTTTGTACGGGTATGTGGCATTTGCATCGCCCAAATAAGAAGGAGAGACACCAACAATTTGATGAGACAACAAAAACATGACGGTGCACTTCTGAAGACAATTTGATGACTTTGAAGGGCCCACGGTAGCGCATTCATTACGAATCACACGATTAATCACCTCGTCTGGTGAATAAGGAGTGTTTGGGAATAAACCCCATGAAATGAGTCACGATTGCCAAAATAATGGAACGCCGACATATTGAGATGAACAATGTGCCCTATACTAATAGCGCTACCGGACACCATTAAACGAAGGGGGTTGCCAAGCGATGTTGGACGGGAAAAAAGGATGTAACTATGGTGAGAAGCCATCAAAATTGAGGTGAGCAAACCAGCCCTTTTGGCGTTTCTGCTGGGGCCGTATGCTGAATGTTGGGAGGGTCCCCGAGGTCGACGGACTACTTGAACTCGGTCGGTACGGTAGGAGAGTGATGACGAAGTGGTGCAGCTGGTCCAGCAGCTCCGCCAAAAGGGCTGGTTTGCTTACCCCAGGACTAAGCCTTGGAGAGGGGAGAGCGCAGGTCCGTCCTCTCTTTAAGGCTTAGTCCTGAGGTAAGCATCAAATTGAGGCGGTTTTAAGGACCGAGTTGAAGTAGTCCGTCGACCGTCGGGACCCCATCCCTCCCCAACATTCAGCATACGGCCCCAGCAGAAACGCCAAACGGGCTGGTTTGCTTACAATCATGGCTGGAAGATACATGAGTTATTAGTGTCATTGAAAAAATCACTTGGACATGTTTTACAGCTCTAATCTAGTCACAGCATCGCCTGTGCATTACATCTATATTACGTCTTTCAGAAATCCCAAAGTCGATTCGTGTTTTCTTCATTTTTATCATTTTTTATCACTGATAGTTTTTTGTTTTCAGTAGGTTCAATTTTTGCTTTTTTTATTACCAGATTAGTCCCCCGTCAACCGCCGGGACCTTCCTTTCCTGCGCAAGCTTTCTATCCTCCGCTATGGTCCCTTCCTCCTGTGACACCAACACCTCGTGGAAGTGACGCGTATGCAACACAATGGTGTTTCATACAGTAGAAGGGACACAATCATGATATGACGGTAGATTTTTCGCTTCCCTTCCTCATCCTCCCTTCCTCTCTCCACTGCCCTCCAGCTGCCACTGCAGCACCATGTGGAATGAACGGAAGTGTGCTAAGCAGGTGTTTATATAGCCCTAAGAGTGTTATCACAACTATCCTGCTACAAAACATTGATATCTCAAATCCTGTAAGCTACCCGATTTGTTAGCGGTTTGTTTATCCCATGAGCTTCCTTCTCACTCACTTCATTTTGCGGACGGACACACATACATACACGCACACACACACACACACACACACATACAGATACACAAACCGACACACAAAGTTAGCGCTTTATAATAATAGAAGGATTCGGCTAAACGGGGAAAACTGACACGGCTCTTCTAGGCCTTCGTATAGCATACAGCTTCAAAATGAGGAAAACCAGTTCATTTACAAAAAAAAATAAATAAAAAAAAAAAAAAAAAAATACAAAATTCGCGGATTGTGAGGTGATCGTGGCGGCGCCTCACAGATCGCCGTTTCCCCACAAAGGACCGAGAAGTGGAAAAAGGGTCGTGGATGTGTTCAAAAAGCTTTTGCTGGTTAAACGTACTTTTTGGCACTATTCAACTTTTAAATCCCCAAAATCCCAAAAATTTTTCGTTGAAATTGTGCCCATAGTGGTGATGCGATGCCCTGATTCTGAAAATGGAATTTATAGGCGCTTGGCGCTATCTCGGCTGCAGTTGACATCGCGCTTTCGCGACCATTGTATTTTCCGAATTCGGTATTAAATTCTCGGGTAGGGACTTTATTTGGTGTTTCTGATTGCAAATGTGGCATTCCTTTAAAGGAATCTTCCACGGACCATGGACCAGTGGGCGGGACCGGAAGTTTTTGTGACGAAATGCATGGTAGGTACGGATCCACGTGTCGAACGCACGAACGTGAACAGGATTCACTTCAAACCTTCCCATGAACGTGGATCCGTACCTACCATGCATTTCGTCGCAAAACCACTTCCGGTCCCGCCCACTGGTCCATGGTCCGTGGAAGATTCCTTTAAGCTGATTTGCCACTTGGGGCCTGTTTTCAGCTCATCTGCACTGATTAAATCGCGGTCAAGACCAAGCCTTCAGAGGAGAGAAGGGCCCCGAGGTGAGTAAGCCACTCATCCTCAGAGCTTTCACGCTTAACTTTTGTCTAGTACTTGTTTACTCACTTCAGAGTCCCCCACATCCGAAGCTTAGCCTCACACCCGGACCTATGCATAGGTGAGAGAACCCATCAGAGTGGGAAATAGCGAATGCCAATAATGAATATCATTAGTTTCTTATTGTTAACTGCCTTTTGGAAGCAGT